TCCTGAGTCAGCATGGCTGGTTCAGGAATTCCGGGTATTGAAGTCCACAAGTCATCAAAGAGCCAAGGTGGCCTACCCCTGACCTATACCATCTCAGACAAGATGATGCTCAGATATCAATCCGATAGCTCAGGGGTCTTCAAACTTGGCCCTTTTATGACTTGTGGACTTCAACTCCCAGAATTCCTGAGTCAGCATGACCGGGGATTGGGGACCCCTGCCTTAGAGCACTTTAATCGATGCCGGAGAATTGCTTTCGGGTTTTAAAACAGTCAAATACATGTGGGTCACGTACTTTATTGATCAGCTATTTGCCAGGGGGTTGGTGGCCCAAACTTGCCAGTTGAACGTAAGGGAGGGGCGGAATTATTTCGACGAGGGGTGTAAACCAGAATGTTTAATGCCTAACGCAGTGTTTCTCAACCTTGACAATTTTAAGGCATGTGGACTTCAACTCCCAGAATTCCACAGCCAGCGTTGCTGGCTGTGGAATTCTGGGAGTTGAAGTCCACATGCCTTAAAATTGTCAAGGTTGAGAAACACTGGCCTAATGCCAGATGTGTTCTTACAGCATGCCGAATGCCTCACCGGAACAGTGTTGTGGTGTTTTTTTTAAAAACAGTGTATTTGGCTCTTAGGCTAAAGTAAAAACGGGTGCTACCGCCTCAGCCATATACGTGCCGCCGCCGTTCGCTGCCGCTGCCATCAATGAAGCCATTGACGCAGAAATCTCCCTTGTTGTGTGCATTACAGAAGGTATTCCCCAGCAGGACATGGTGCGCGTCAAGCACCGGCTGCTTCGTCAGGACAAGACTCGGCTGGTCGGCCCAAATTGCCCCGGAGTCATCAATGTAAGGGGGGAGGGGCAAGGAAGCTGAAATATGAGGGGTGCTTGGGACACAGTAGAAGCCGGGGGGGGGTTCTTCTGCCATGAGATTGGCCACCTAGTGGCAGTTTAAGCGAGGTAGTAAAAGTGTGGGAGTAGAACTCAGTGCCCGCCCTCAGCGGTGGAATCTTGAAGGTTGAGGTCCTCTCTCCCTTTCCCTTCTCTGTCCCCCCTCTCTCTCCCCTCTCCCTGTCCCTCTCTCTTCTCCCCCTTCCTCTCCTTCTCCCTGTTCCTTGTCCCTTTTCTCCTCCCTTTTCCCCTTTCCCTCTTCCTTCTCCCCTCCCCTCCAATCTCTCTCTCCATTCTCCCTTTCCCTGTCCTTCTCCCTTTCCCCTCCCTTCTCTCCTTCTCCCTTGTCCCCTCTCCCTTCTCCCCTTCCCTTCTCTCTCCCTTCTCCCGTCTCTTCTCCCCTCCCTCCCTCCCTCTTCCTTGTCCCCTCTCCCTTTCCTCCTCCCCTCTCCCTTTCCCCTCCCCTTCTCTCTCCCTTCTCCCCTCCCCTCCCCTTTCATCTCCCTTTCCACTCTCGCTTTCCCTGTCCTTCTCCCTCTCCCTTCTCCTCTCCTCCCTCTCCTTCTCCCTTTCCTCTTCCCCTCTCCCTTTCCCCTCCCCTTCCCTCCCTTCGCCCCTCCCCTCCCCTTTCATCTCCCTCTCCACTCTTGCTTTCCCTATCCTTCTCCCTCTCCCTTCTCCTCTCCTCTGTCTCCCTTTCCCCTCCCCTCCCCTTCTCTCTCCCTTCTCCCCTCTCTTCTCTCTCCCATCTCCCCTCCCCTTTTATCTCCCTCTCCACTCTCGCTTTCCCTGTCCTTCTCCCTTCTCCCTTTCCCCTCCCCTTCTCTCTCCCTTCTCCCCTCTCTTCTCCCCTCCCTCCCTCTCCCTTGTCCCTTTACTCCTATCATCTCCCTTTCACCTCCCTTTCCCTCTCTTGTGAACTCTCCAGCTTCCTCCTTCCCTTATATATTCAAGATGGACAGTATTTCATATTAATTTGTTACGTATATGTAGGGGTGTGGGTTTATGCATATGTTGTATATAGTATGTTTTAGGGGTGTGTCATGTATGTGTTTCACTTTGAGAGCAGGCAACTAAATTTCATTTTTTTGATGCCTGCCGTTGTGCCCACAGTAAAAAAATGACGACAAAGGTTATCTTATCTTTCCCTCTCTGCCTCCTCCACTCCCCTTGCCCCTCCATCTCCCTTCTTCCCTTCCCTCTCCCCTCCCCTCCTATCCTCTTTTCTCTCCCTTCTCTCTCCTCCTTTTCCCTTCTCCCTTCTGTTCTCTCTTTCTCCCTCCCCTCCCCTCTGTATCCTCCCCTCCACACTCCCCTGTCTTGCTGCAATCCAGTGCCTCCCCATGGCTCAGATAACGCAGCCCATAACTCTCTTTTCTCCCCTTTTCTCTCCCTGTTCCTTGTCCCTTTTCTCCTCCCTTTCCCCCTTCCCTCTTCCTTCTCCCCTCCCCTCCAATCTCTCTCTCCATTCTCCCTTTCCCTGTCCTTCTCCCTTCCCCCTTCCCCCTCTTTTCCTCTCCTCCCTCTCCTTGTCCCTTCTCCCTTTCCCCTCCCCTTTTCTCTCCTTTTCCCCCTCCCTCCCTCTTCCTTGATCTTGTCCCTTTACTCCTCCCATCTCCCTTTCCCTCTCTCTTTTTCCCTCTAGTCCCCTTGCCCCTCCATCTCCCTTCTCCCCTTCCCTCTCCCCTCCCCTCCTATCCTCTTTTCTCTCCCTTTTCTCCCTCCCCTCTCCTCCTTTTCCCTTCTCGCTTTGGTTCTCTCTCCCTCCCCTCCACACTCCCCTGTCTTGCTGCAATCCAGTGCCTCCCCATGGCTCAGATAACGCAGCCCATGTATCCTATATTGCAGGCTTCTCTTCTCTTCTCTTCTCTTCTCTTCTCTTCTCTTCTCTTCTCCCCTTCCCTCTCCCCTCCTATCCTCTTTTCTCTCCCTTCTCTCCCTCCCCTTTCCTCCTTTTTCCTTCTCGCTTTGGTTCTCTCTCCCTCCCTCCCCTCTGTATCCTCCCCTCCACGCTCCCCTGTCATGCTGCAATCCAGTGCCTCCCCATGGCTCAGATAACGCAGCCCATGTATCCTATATTTCAGGCTTCTCTCTTCTCTTCTCTTCTCTTCTCTTCTCTTCTCTTCTCTTCTCTTCTCTTCTCTTCTCTTCTCTTCTCTTCTCTTCTCTTCTCTTCTCTTCTCCCCTTCACTCTCCCCCCCTTATCTTCCCCCATGCTCCCCTATCTTGCTGGCTCAGATAACTCTCTCTCAGCCCATGTACCCCATCTTCAAGGGTTCCATTATGAGGATAAGATGAAGGGTGCCCCATGGAAGCTGTCTTGAAATGAAGAAAAAGTGTAATATGAATCTTTAAATAACGACTACGCTAGCCTGCTCTTTGCCATTATCCCGGGTGACTCTGATTTGATTCCGCTCCTTTTCACCTTCAGCCTATACATAATCTAGTTTCCGAGTGGGGAAAACTTAAATTCAAAAGTCCACTTCGCTGGGAGAGTGTCACTTGTTTGCCCAGGCTATGTTTACAGCAGCTATTGAGACAACTGAAGATTGAGGGTGTTTATAAACCAGCATTTCCCAAGCTGTGCTCTAGGAACTTCTGCCTTGCGTAGCCGAGGTCGGCTAATTATAATAAACTGTTCTTAAAAAAAGAAAAAAAAGCTTGATGAGCACCACTTAAGACAGGGTGGACAGTCAGTGACAAAATCCAAAGCCAGAGATTCTGTAGCAAACGCGTGGGAAATTCTGTGCAATTCTGAAAGCCTTTACAACAGTGTTTCTCAACCTTGACAGTTTTAAGGCATGTGGACTTCAACTCCCAGAATTCCACAGCCAGCAATGCTGGCTGTGGAATTCTGGGAGTTGAAGTCCACATGCCTTAAAATTGTCAAGGTTGAGAAACACTGCTTTACAAAGAGATGCTTTGTATTTCTAGGAAGCACACAAAAGTGCCTTTTGAATAACGTGTGCGACAGGTTTTTTTTTTTAAAAAAGGCCTAAATCAAATCTGATCAAGTTTTCGGGTTCTATTTTGGTTTTTTTGTGTTTTTGTTTTTTAGCCTGGAGCATGTAAAATTGGTATCATGCCTGGCCACATTCACAAGAAAGGAAGAATCGGTAAGTTCTGAAAAAAGATACAAGCTGTATTGTTGTACATTTAAATTTACATCCACATCAATAATAATAATAATAATAATAATAATAATAATAATAATAATAATAATAATAATAATAGTAGTAGTAGTAATAATAATAATAATAATAATAATAATAATAATAATAATAATAATAATAATAATAATAATAATAAAGTTGGAAGGGACCTTGGAGGTCATCTAGTCCAACCCCCTGCTCAGGCAGGGAATCCTATACCATTTCAGACAAATGGCTGTCCAGTCTCTTCTTAAAAACTTCCAGTGTTGGAGCATTCACCGCTTCTGGAGGCAGGTTGTTCCACTGGTTAATTGTTCTAACTGTCAGGAAGTTTCTCCTTAGTTCTAGGTTGCTTCTCTCTTTGGTTAGTTTCCATCCGTTGATTTGCAGTCTTCTCTGCCACCAGAGGGTCAAATTTCAAAGTCTTGATACAATGAATAATGCGTAAGAATAATTTTGAAAGAGTTTGATTCGTCCGTTGCGTTGTAGGGACTCTATAACCCAACTATCAGCTCGATACTTCATTCTCCTGTTTCATTATTTTTTTCAGGTATTGTCTCCAGATCTGGCACTTTGACCTACGAAGCTGTCCATCAAACAACTCAAGTCGGATTGGGACAGTCCTTCTGTGTTGGTGGGTTTGAAAGAGGCTCAGTTCATGTGTAAGACCACACCTATGATTGTAGAAACTACATAGAGACACGTCCCCTCTTCCCTTCTAAAGTGTGTATTTTGCAAAGAGAATGAAGGAAAAAAAAATAGCAATGTCAGGGAAGAATTCTGGTCATTGAGGGTGAACTGTGCAATATCCCTAGAGCAGGGGTAGGCAACCTTGGCTCTTTTATGACTTGTGGACTTCAACTCCCAGAATTCCTGAGCCAGCCACGCTGAGGGGAAAGGGAGAGGTTTCCAAGCTGAGCAATGCTGGCTCAGGAATTCTGGGAGTTGAAGTCCACGAGTCATAAAACGGCGTAGACCAGAGGTAGGCAACCTTGGCTCTTTTATGACTCGTGGACTTCAACTCCCAGAATTCCTGAGCCAGCCACGCTGAGGGGAAAGGGAGAGGTTTCCAAGCTGAGCCATGCTGGTTCAGGAATTCTGGGAGTTGAAGTCCACGAGTCATAAAGCGGCATAGGCCAGAGGTAGGCAACCTTGGCTCTTTTATGACTCCTGGACTTCAACTCCCAGAATTCCTGAGCCAGCATTGCTCAGCTTGGAAACCTCTCCTTTTCCCCTCAGCATGGCTGGCTCAGGAATTCTGGGAGTTGAAGTCCACAAGTCATAAAGTGGCGTAGGCCTAGGCCAGAGGTAGGCAACCTTGGCTCTTTTATGACTCTGTGGACTTCAACTCCCAGAATTCCTGAGCCAGCCACGCTGAGGGGAAAGGGAGAGATATCCAAGCTGAGCCATGCTGGCTCAGGAATTCTGGGAGTTGAAGTCCACGAGTCATAAAAGAACCTAGGTTGCCTACCCTTGGTCTATGCCCTTTCAGGCTAATGATTGTCCAGTCTCTTCTTAAAAACCTCCAGTGTTGGAGCACCCACAACTTTTGGAGGCAAGCTATTCCACCGATTAATTACGGTATTCCCACTGTCAGGAAATTCCTCTTTCGTTCTAGTTTGCTTCTCTCCTTGATTAGTTTCCACCCATTGCTTCTTGTCCTGCCTTCAGGTGCTGAAACTGAAGCTCTGAACATTCGGGTTTCTGGAGCTGTTTTGCAATTCTCCTGCGTGTAACCTTCTACCGTGCAAAATTGCTCATGGGGGAATCGGATGACATATCTGCCTTCTATTTATAGGGACAGGAAAGGCAGGCCTTGACCATATTAAACCAGCTCCCTGCAGTTGCTCAGCGTGGTGATAAGACCGAGGGCAAGCTGTTGAATAGTCCAGGCAAAACGGTCTTGAGCGAATAATATAATACTTTAGCAAAGCGTCAATTTATATTGTGATGATTTTTGCAATTCCTGGTCATAGGCTTCCAGCACCCCTCGGTCGAGGTGAACTTAAATCTATGTGTGATTAAGCTCTCTGAATAAATTGTCAGTTCAGCCAGAGAACACTTGAATAGTTCATTTTTGCAGGTCAGAGCGAAATATTAATCCGGCTGTGAAAACAGTGGTTTTTCTGTTTTATTCTGTAATTCTCCTGCTTCACTTTTGAGTTCCATTCTGTTTCAGTTCTGGCTGGATTTTAAATTGCCTGGGCGGTTTTTTTTTTCTGTACTTCCAAATTAAACCTCGTTGTACAAATAAAATACATGTTTTCTACTTGCTAAAAACTGCTGGGGAACATTTCCAACAAACCAGGCACTTATTACCATCTTTGGTGGACATGCTCTCTAAAGCCAAAAGATTTTGGTTAAGAATACATACCTGGTTAGAGAAAACAAAAAAAAAAAGTATAGAGTTTAAGCCAGAATTATTTTTGTTAGGCATAATGGTAGGAAATCATGAGAAATTATGAGTGTATATATTTAATTTTACATATAATAACTGCAGCAAGAATTGTATTCGCTCAATATTGGAAAAATCAAGATCTACCAATGGAGGAAGCGTTAATTTAAAAAATCTTAAGAGTGTGCAGAAAGGGATAGATTGACACTGAAAATGAGAGAGAGAAAAAAGACTCAGTTTATTTTAGAACAGGGGATACCTTTTATCATTGGCTAGAAAAACCAGGTAGAGAGAAAAGGAATTTAATATGTATTAGTAAGCTAGGTATTGAAATCCAGACAATACGTTGCTGACAAAATATCAAGCACTTGTTATTATAAAAAACATATATATATATATCTTGAGTTTGGTGCACTCTGTCGGCCCAAATATGGGAGAAAGGAAAGAGAAAGTGAGAAAGAGCCTGTGGCCTAGAGGTTAATACATCTGCCTAACATGCAGACAGCCCAGGTTCGAATCTCAGAAGAGTATGTCTGGTTGAAAAGAACTAAAAAGTTCGAAATGGCTATTCCAGTTCTCCCTTAATTCTTTGTTAGCAATCCAAATTTTGAAGAACACATATGTCGCAGTTGCGACTGCTAAGCCTGTGGATGGCTCTAGTTTGAGCTGATACAGGCAAAAGATTCCTTTCTCCCATATTTGGGCCAACAGGGTGCACCAAACTCAAGATAATATACACACACACACACACACACACACAGTACATATACATGCAGGCAGCCCAGGTTCAAATCTCAGAAGGGTATGTTTGGCTGATGAGAGCTAAAAAGTTCGAAATAGCTATTCCATTCTCCCTTAATTCTTTGTTAGCAATCCAAATTTTAAATATATATATTTAAGGGCTCCCTTGTCCCTGCATGGAAGATGTCCCATCTGTGTGATTGCGAATGTGTGTGTTGCATACATGTAATCCTCGACTTATGACTTAAGTTAGTAACTCGGTTGTTAAGTGAATCTGGCTCCCCCCCCTTGACTTTGCTTGTCAGAAGGTCGCAAAAGGTGATCACGTGACTCCCTGGGATGCCCGACCGTCATAAATACGAGCCCGTTGCCAAGCAGTCCAGTTTTGATCACGTGACCACGGGGACGTTGCGACGGTCGTAAGTGTGAAAACGGTCCGAAGTCGCCTTTTTTTCCAGTGCCGTTGTAACTTCAAGCGGTCCCTAAACAAACTGTTGTAAGTCGAGGACTATCTGTGTTTATATTTTGCCAAAACGTGAAGGATGGGTAATCTTTTTTGCAAAAAAAGCAGTTGAAAAATCACAGTGGTTATTTAAGGCCAAATCACTCTTGGCGCCTTTACAAGAGTTGATCTTGAAGACTCTTCCGTGGCTTCCGAATGCCTCATGTTGCCTCTTCCTGGCTTTTGAATGGAATTTTTCTTCTTTTTTTAAGGGATTGGAGGAGACCCGTTTAATGGGACAAATTTTATTGACTGCCTGGATGTCTTCCTGAAGGATCCCCACACCAGCGGGATAATATTGATAGGGGAGATTGGCGGGAACGCCGAAGAAGACGCTGCGGACTTCCTTAGACAAAATAACTCTGTAAGCTGGAAGGTTCTCAAAAAAAAAAAAAAATGTGACTGACTGAGGTGGGAATGTTCTGGTTTCGGAAAGGAGGTGGAAGGGAGTTGCTCATTGAAAAGCCATTTGGAATTGCATCCAAATAGGTCTGTCCGTTCGGGGAGAATTTTTATACCCCTGTATAGAAGGATGCCTGGAAAAAAGTGTAATTCAGTCTGAAAATATGCTTTCTTGCACCCAGTTTTCTGGAGAATAAAAGGACAGTCTTTTCTCTGTCCTTGGTGAGGTTGATTCCCTCCCCTCCACTCTTCCTTCCTTCCTTCCTTCCTTCCTTCCTTCTTCGCATTCCCATCTCCCTCCTTCTTTCCTTCCTTCATTCCTCCCTCCAATCTTCTTTCCTTTCCTTTCCTTTCCTTTCCTTCCTTCCTTCCTTCCTTCCTTCTTCGCATTCCCATCTCCCTCCTTCTTTCCTTCCTTCATTCCTCCCTCCAATCTTCTTTCCTTTCCTT